GCTGTTAAATGTGGATGTCAGATCTTTCCACAGCACGCACGAGCACGTGAAAAGATGGCGGTAAATTGAATTTTCTCCAGAAGAGAAAGAGAGACAAGAGAAATAAGAAAGAAAGTAGAAGAGATATAGAGAGAAATCTATATTTATTATTCTGGTGTTTCGCGTGCACTGGATATAAATAAATATCAAAAGTTACACAAAATGTATATACCTACACGTAAATAATATACGTAAACATTCGGTTTGGTGGAGTAGAGAAGGAAATAGAAAAAGAATTGCAGAGAGAGACACTGGAGAGAAATAGGATAATAATAAATTTCAAAAAAAGAAAGCAAGATACATGAAATAACTGGCACCGCGATAAAAAATAATAACAGTAAATCTGAGAAAAAAATCGTTTGTTATATATTTGTAGTACAAATTGTGACTTAGTGTCTCAATGTCGACACCAAAGCACGGGATAAAAGGACGTAGAGATAATTATAGAAGGGTGAATGATTCGAGGATGAACTCGAGGAGGAAAAGAAGCACTAACTCGTGCTTAACGTGACTTAACGACAACCGCCTTAACATTCTTGTCTATTTGCCGGATAAAATACGAGAAACCTGACACGCAACCGCATAAAACGTACATTATTCTCAACTTTTTCTCGCTCACGAACCCGGCGTAGTGCATCCGGGAAGCGCTAGGCAAATCTATTCCTATCAACCGCAGGACCGACGTTATTCCCATATACGAAAGCCTTTCGCCGTGCGCTTTTCCTGCCGAAGGATGAGACTGCTGAATTTTCGATGATCGGTAAAACGTGGAAGCGATGATCTCGGGGGGCATGCATTATGGTGTTATCAATAAAAAATGTTTTTACACATATTATCCCCTTTCAAATGCGCCCCGCTGTACTAACACGAGTTTTCGGAGTGTGTTCTTTCGAATTATGCAACAATATTGAGAGCCGCGGCGGGATATGCGGGCCATTAAAATGCGCTCCGTTTCGTAAAATATAATGATGTTTCGTGCGTAATAACAAAAATCTATTGAATTTAGCGAAGTGTTTTAACCTGCTTGTTGAAATTCCTGTAAATATAATCTCCTTTCTGACTTCTGTTCATATTTCATATTACCTGCACCGTTTATTATTTATTATTCTACTACAACGCTTTCCACGATCATATATTTTAGTTAAAGCTCTTCGATGTTCATGTTACGCATGTTAGATCAGCCATAATTATAATTTGCAAAATTATAACTCTGCCAATATGTGTTTGACAGTTTTAATTCTAAAATATGCAGTGCAAAATCGATGCAAATAAAGCATGCATTTATAATTGAATACAATGCAAATCAAAAATATTGCATGCTAACTAAAATTTCTATGTTACAAAATGAGTTTGTATATTTTCTCATCATAACTTCACGTTACAACTACGGACAATAACTGCGATACACATTGCACAGCTAAAACTAAGTTTGATAACCGGAGAAGCATCATAATCATAAACGCATATCGTGTACATTATGCAATTATTAGCAAAAGACGACATATTGTTCCGACGCTATAACCGCCATTAAATTTATCGCAAATTGTCCCAAATTTTCTGATATTCAACAGTTCCCTTAAAAGCCGAAACGATATACACTATATACACTAACCAATAATAATTCTGGCATTATTGTAACGGTATAAAACTAAAACATATCGTTAATTATTATTTATTATTCAAATGTATATCGTATCTTCAAATTATGAATTATAATTGTATCATTAACCTCTTTGGAATAATGCTGGATGATTGTTTCCGAATTAATAATTATAATATAGAAAATGAGATTTAAAATTGGTATTAGATAGTACTTCAAAATTTTAATTAAATACAATCCACGACGCGCGGACTCGCAACAGTCGGATATTAATATTATACACAATTGCGACCCTATATCTTTCATAATATCTCGTGATTCACAGAACAGTATGGCATGCACAGTGTGCAAAACAAAGTAGGAAGGAAATACAAGCCATTGCATTTCAATGAAAGCTTACTTTACCCACACTAGCGTGCTGGACGCGCGCTTCCGGGTTGGAACACCCCGGGTTGGAACACCCCGGGTTGATTTGTTTTTCTCGACTTCGCCAAGGTAGACGTTAAGTGTACTCAACGTCTTATCGTGCGCCGCGGATTTCGGTGCCATATTTCATGCGGCAGGCAACTTTTAGCGTTCTTCTTTCGTATTTACTCGACCGGTTTGCGAAAGGCACAATAGAGAAGATATATCCGGAGATTTATGAAGTCGGTGCAGTTCATTGAGATACGCGAAATAACTTGGAGTGGCGAATTCGGAAAGCGAACGAAAGTAATTGGTTACGTTTCAAGAATTTATTTCGAAGCAGCTGAAATTTATTTTTCGATATTACGTAAACGACGACGTTTATTTGCAATTCAATTGTATGCGAGTGGAGCTTTCTGAGATTTCGATGAACAAAATATATTTAGTTACTGATTAATATTAAATAATTTTCACTTGTGGAAAAAAACTTTCCGCATATATCTATCCAAGATGTAAATTTATATTTTTGGAATCCTAGAAATAAATGTTGAAAAATCAGCCTTTTCGATTTAAATAATTAACTTAGAGTATTCTGCTTCGAAAGATTATATTAAAATTACAAATTCTTCCTTTTAAACATAATAAAAAAAATCTCCGTCTACATTAACGTTCAAAAGTAGCGCGCTAAGCAAAGCCGCAAGCACAGTGTCGGCCACTGTTGGTGCAAAGCGCTCGTGCGGGAACCGAAAAATAAACATCGCCGTGAACCAGCAATAACCAGACGAGATACACAGAAGAGAACGCACAACCACACCCCGTTCTCGTACGTATGCATATACGCACATCGCGTTTCAAGCGGACGTGCTACAAGAGATAAATGCTGGCAATGTCCTTCATTCTACTCGACGGTTGGATATTAAAAAGCAGGGGACCAGAGAAGCAAGGGTTCATTTGGCAGGAGGTTTCGAGCTCTCGAACGATGCTGAAGTGCGTCACGCGCGCGTCAACGGATAGCGCGATTGTTTCGACCTCGCGGTACGATAGTTGTTTTGCGCACATGTACGCATTTCGTCGCGAGAGACGAGTGCAGCCGGTCTAAAACGAGTGACGTGTCTGTCTAGCAAAAGATAAAAAAAAAACGGAAAATGCGAATTTTTAGGGCAAATGCATATTCATGTCACAGCGATGCGACCGCGGAGTCCAAGTGGCGCGTATTAATATGCATAAATCCCCTGCCATTACCGCAGACTCAGGCAGCTCGGAACGTATTTTCCCGCGATTTATCCGCGATCCGACCCACTTGCTAGAAATTCTTAAGAATAGCACCTCTACGCTTTATAGTGCTTAACCTTAATTGCAAGAATGAAAAATGCCAAGAAATTTTTAATTGCAGCAAATTACTGAACGCATATGTATAATATAACAATTTTCAACGTTAATTGATTTCTGCTCAAAACTGAGATAAAAAGTAAGTAAACTAAAGTGTAAACTTATAGAAAGGACAAACAATATATGAGGATAAAAATGGAAAAAATATCTAGAGTGTGATATTTAAAATTTCGTATTTCAAAAAAAGTCTCTAAAAGCATACATGCTGTGAAATCAACTTCGATTATCAGCAAATTTTATTTTTTCTTGTATTCCGGCATATTTAAAATTAAAATAATAAATGTTTCCGATATACGATCATGGTTTTCAGAACAAAATTGTACTGTAAAAAGCAAAGTAGAAAAAGTTAGAAACAGTAAAAGTTTGATCTTCCGACTACACGTTGTGGAAAAATTTTTCTCTCGTAAGTTACCGCTCCTAAATCTAGCACATTCCTAAAAAATTTCATCAGTAGGAATTTTACGAGAATTTAATCATTCGCGCAAAATTGAACGGCTTTACAAAAGGTACGTTAACGTTTTCAAAAAAAAAATTTATAAACATCTCGTTTTTTTGGAAAAAACTATGTATAAAAATACGTTATAATTAAAAAAAATCTGCTGCTTTTATATATATAATAGCCGAAGGTAAAGCGAAATTTCTCATATTATATGTAAAAATCATATAAATTTCTAAATAGCGCAACCATTTCGGTTGCAAAATGTCAAATAATATTCGAGTAATATTGGTCGCACAAATTAGTGAACCAATGTTTCAATGTAATGGAGAATCAATCATTCCATGTCTATTAGATAAATAAATACGTTTCAGACCGTTTTGATGATTTTAAAAATCAAATATTTAATACAAAAACATGTTATTTTAAATTCTTTCTTCAATAATATGTAACTCAAATGGAACATTCACAAATATAAAATATATAAAATGATCAATGATTTTACCGATTGCATTTTTTATTAATTTAATAATTTATCAAAATATAAGTATGCAGTGAGAAAAACAAGTGGTACTAAACTTTTCGAAATACTGTAAGATATTAATTAATTCTTCATTTTTCGCACCAACGAAGGAAATTTATCGTTAAATAATTATCGTCAAATATCGGAGAAATTAATAATATATAACGTCATTTATAACTAAAATAGTACGAAAATGCAATTGTAAAGTGATTAATAATCACATCGATTATACAATTTAATAAGTCTGTGATAATTACAAATGAAATTAACAAAAAAGAAAACGAAAAACTAGATAGATGTACGTGCTAAATTTGTATTTTGTACACAAATAATACACAATAATACACAAATGCGGCACATACATTTGTTTGCCACTCTTCCGCTTACTTTCTTATTAATTTCATATTGAGCATTATATTTTTTGCTGTATGTAGAATAATGTTCGTTAAAACATAGATATGTAAATAAATGCAGTATGAAAAAAAAATAAACAGCACTAAGCTTCCCAGCACATACTTCGCGGAACGGCGCAAATTTAATTTTTCACGTCGATAAGAAATCCGACTTCAAAGCATTAAATAGCGAGAAGAAGATTGCAAGGTACTCACCGAGCACGACCAGCTTCACCGGTCTACCGAAGAGGATCTTCCCCTGGTCGTCCTCGAGCGTGCAGCTCCACACACCGTCGTCCTCCAATCTGACGTTGTCTATGTGCAACGCCGCGGTGGTGGAATCGCCGATGTACCGGTGCCCGGTTCCGCTCATTTCCGTTCTCGTGTCTATCGTGATCATATCCACCGGACTACCCTCGTGCAGCCATGTCGCCGGTCGTATTCTGTAACTTCTGACAAGAACGGTCGCGTCCGCATTATTAGTTCCCCTAACAAACTTCGTCACACCCGATCTTCGGGCGACGAAGAGACTTTAACTACCCTCGCGTTACTATACAGAGAGAGAGACTTGTTTCCATAGAGGAAATCATTTCATCGTGAGCATTCGACGCGAAAAGTTATTGCTGAACGAAAACTGCATATTAATATGAATAACGGAACGTCATTATATCGCACACAGGTATGCGATAAAAATGTGAAGAATCTCAAAATACGAGAAGTTATGAAAGGGAAAAGCAAAATTAGTGGATGCATTATTTTACGCTTTTTAATTTAAGATTGAAACGCGATAGATTATTCTATTTCAGAAAAATTATTTCAAATACTTACATAAGTTTTAATTAATATGCTTGATAATTTGATATTACATAATTTGATATTACATAAAATATTCATTTAATTGAAATTATTCCTCGAATTTTGTCAATTTCTGTTAATTAATCTACTAAAGTGTGAGTAGTTAATTGTAGATAAAAGTAATTAATGTTAATCATCGAATTTCTCGCGAGAAATCGACTGATTATATGCACACGTCTTACCTGGCACCCGGCAACAATAATCTCGAATAATTTCCGTCCAGTTCGCAAGGTAAGATGACTTTACTGTGCGGCTTCACCACGAGCTCCATAGGCGGATTGGACGACGCGTCCGCCGTGTCTGAGGATAACGCAACATTGGTCGTAGTGGAAGAACTAGTGGACCATGATTCCTCCTCGGGAGCCAAAAGAGCCGCGGGCTGCGCCACTTCGTCGGGCAGCGGTATGAACGTCGAGCTGGACGTCGTTGTGCTTGTTGTGGTAGTCCTCCTAATCCGCCGACTACCCTCCTGCCTACCTCGCAGCGCAAAAACACCAGCCTCGTTCACGGAGCCTGTAACAACGACGCGGTATAATGGCATCGGCCCCTCTGACGTGTAGCGAAGGAAAGTTACCGTGATTTCGTTTTTCGCGTTAGTGCCTTGCGCTTTTTATAGCGCGTGGGTCTTATCGCACTTTTGTTATTATCGGCGTTTTCAGCGCGTCCTGGTTTTTAAGTATTTCTGGATAAACCGTCGCGTGACTCGTCGCAAGAAATCGCTTTAACCACGAGTTCAACTATCGATATTCACCGCGTACTGCTATGACGCTTTATGTCAAGCCGCGATTGATTAACTGAACGGACGGGGAGATTAATTAGAGTATAATTTACTTGTATGTATTGAATTATGTGATCAAATGGTTAGACAAATTCTTCACCCATTGCAGTTTAGCGCCCTTTCCGAAACATAAGTGTCTCTTGAAACTTAAGTCTGATAAAAAACGCAGATATGCATCTAAAGAACAGAAACGTATTGTTTTCCGCATTTTTAGTTCAGAACGTGTTATTATACATTCACCCGCATTTAAAGTACTAAATCTTCCGGCCGCCCTTCACGACGGAACAACAGATAAAATTAGTCATCCGCCTTCACGCCTTTCCACACTTTATCGAGAGGTAAATATTCTGAAGGCTGTAGCTTGATCGAGTTAGCGCGGCCCTGGAATTCGATAAAGCCATGGCAAGAACGTCGATGCGCGAAGGGCACTTTCCATCCGGCGGATGGACGCCGGTTCCGCACGCTCGGTCGCTCTCACCTAAAACTGCCTGCCTATCGGGCTTGGTCGACCGAGACTTCACGAGGAAAACTAATTATGGTTCCGATGAGCCGCAAATAGCTGCAACTACCTAACCCCGACACAACTAAGAGCTCTCTTCCCGGGACCCGCCTTCTCATCCTGCAGCCGCGAGTTCCGCAATCCCTCTGTAGCAAGCTAGCAGTTGAGGGTGACCGACAGCCCAACTTGTTTGCATGCCACGAGGCAGTTCTATGGTGGCTATTTCACTAATACCCTCTCTTGACTAACGGCTAACGTACACTCTTTATTCTTTCAAACATTTGTTAGCACTGCGATGAAAATTTTTATATTCCTTTCGATTTGTATATTATAACTTAATAAATATCTTTGTAATATTACGGAGAAAATTTAACTTTTTCTTACTAAATTATATTACTCTTGCCTTAATGTAAAAATAAAGCAATAAATGTCGAAAAGCAATGAAAAATAAGAAACTTGAAAGTTAGAAAAGTGCATGATATAAATCAAAATATAAATATATGCTAATGTATGCAATATGTTACGTGACTGCGAGCGTACAGAGTTGATTATAGTTTATAGCAGTCGTTATTCTAGCTTATTATTATCGCAGTTAATAAGCTAAACAATTTCAGGAATATTATAAATAAGTATTCCGAGTGATGAAATAATTCTGTTAAATAACTCTTTGCGAATAATTTGTTTAAAATTAAATGTAATAAAAGTATGCAAGTTGGAAGAAAATTATGAATATAAAAAATGTGTAAATGTTTAACTGAAATAACAAAAATTCACTTTTGCTTCTGCGAAAATGCGGATTCCGCAAAAGACTAACAACCAAAATTTTTTATATTTTTGGAAAAACCCACTATAGAATTAAAAATCATGCAATTAAAATTTCATGTGATAACGAAAAAACATAGATATGTAACAGTATTTTAGTTATTTTTGTTGCGATTAAACGACTGTTAATTTATTATTGTGACAACTGTAATCCAATATTCATGATAAAATACACTTCTCCGATAAGCACGGACACTGAAATAATTAAAAGATTTAATGATAATTAAACTTTAATAATCGCGACATATAACGGCAACAATTTTGAAAGCTTTTATTCCATTTTCAAATGCAATTTATTAAAAAAAGCAAACGTACTTCTAAATATTATATATATTATCATTATTCACATCTCGTTGATCCTTATATAAATATATATATATACACGTTATATTATACATTTAAATTATTTATAAATTCAGTAAGATTAAACTTTGCATTTTTTATTAAAAAAAAGACTATATTGGCAGAAAGATGCTATTAAGCTTGCTAATTCGCTGCTTAACGGGACAATAAAGACAAATATACATTTTCAAGGCTTTACACAAGATGTAATTTAATTTGTCAAGAACGCTTCTCATGCAGAAGTGTTATGCATGTCAATGAAGAACAGTTCTAAATCAATAATTAAGATGTTTGCTTTTGAAAACAAGCACAAAAATAACTCAATTTTAGCTTTAATCGTGCCAGACGCGAAGGAAAATGTATCGATCTGCAGTCACGTAGCGATATCATGGCGTCCGCCAATAGCGACTGGCCTCTGTTCATCAACGTTCCCAATAGTATACCCGACTAGTTATACACCGCTATCGAGTGGATGTTGTTCGACGTTGATGCATGCATTATTCAGGTGGTGTATCCATTCATTATTCATGTCATGATCAATGGATGTCAACAGACCGCGATCTGTATCTGAGCACGTCGCTATGGCAGAAAGTGAAAGTGGCTGCTAAGCGAAATATACGTCCAGGCTCAAAGGAACGTTGCGAACAACGTTATGTAACGAATTTACGGCACCACGTATTACCCTAGTCGGCGACCCAATGTGATAAACCTTTGATTACAATAAAATTGACACGCGCTTAGGAAACTTGTTATCATAGTGTAATCATGTTGCTCGAGAGCAACTTGCTGTTTTCGAGATAAACTTGCATTTAACAGGCAAATGATGCGCAGTGTTCTTGGCCATTGGCGCGTCCATTTATATTTAATATTTGGTAGTAAGTAATATCTTCTTATATGCTTATGACAAAAGGCTAAGGAATTTTTTCTGACCGTGTCACAATCAATGCTTTCTCATTCTCGTCTATTGGAATTAATGACGCTTCGTAATTGCGTGCGAGAAAGTCGAACTGCCTGAATCCGCGCTTTCCTGCAGCGTACAATGTATGCGGCTCACAACAATGCAAGATGGTAAAGCGGTTAAGAGGATTTGTCGTGTCATCGGATAAACTCCTTTTCCTCTATGCGCGAAGCTCTCCTCACTGCGAGATGGTGAATTTCCACCCACATCCGCCGTCACCGTGCACTCTCCGTTATTCTCTCGGCGTGAATCGCGCATCAAAGGTGAAACACGCGCGAGCTCGCCATGGGAATTCCGATAATTTGGAAAGAGGAGCAGGCAAGCACCGAGCAGACAACGCCTTGAATTTCCGAAGCACTAGATTTGCCGAACGTTACGGAAAGGGGCAGCTTCGCAACTTCGTGTCGCGAAATACTACGTGCCGTATGAAGCAAGTTCTGCAAAGTTGCGCTCTTCTCTTCGGCTATTACCTGTCTTACGTTATCACTGCTAATTTTACTCTCTCGACTCGGCTCCATCGCGACTGGAATTTTAAACGGTTCCTCTCTTGAGGAATACCTCGAGAGAACGCGAGAACGTCCTCTCTTGAACGAGCGTCGTCACAACTTTATAAAAGACGCATATACATAAATTTTTAATGTTTACATCTATCTTGTATGTGCGTAAAGCACACGTGAAACATAAAACAAGTGTGAAATAGTATTCGCGTGCATTTTAAATGTAGTCCGTATGCACGATGTGACAGTTGCAGTTCCCATAATATTCATCTGCAGTCATTGGCCATTTTTATTGCAAAAAATATGGTCGATAAAAAATGATGGATCGCGAGTTAATTCAACCGGTGCTTGCGCAATTTTGTAATCAGGTCAGCCAGAAACATCGCATCGCACATTTCACTGTGATATCGAAGCGGAAGCGAAACGAAAATTAATCCAAGCGCGATCAAAGCGCGTAACCGGAGGCAATAAATGAAAATGACATGTATCCGGCGGACCAAAAAAAAAGAAAGAAAGAAAGCGTGAAATCGCATTTCGCACTATTACGCATCTTTCGTTATGTCGCGGCCGCGCACACGCCACACTCTATGTTTATTCGATTATAGCCGCCTCTCTCGCGTCGCTCGGAGACCCCTGGTCCCAGAACGTATCAACGAAACCGTCCTCCACATTCAGATCCAAGGGGGGCGGGTCAGTGTCCATCGTTCGGTGATGAAAAGTTTCGAGGGTCCACGGAGAATTTTGCATACCGCCGAGCACACGGGAAACAGTCGTGACGCGCAGAAAAGAGCACTAGCGAATAGTACGAAAGGGAAAAAATGTGCGGATGTAATATAGGTTGGTGCGCGAGGGTGTGCTGCAATACGGATGTGCACGCGGGTATATCTTGTTGGTGGATGCTAAGGCGACCTTGCTCTGTGTACACAAAGCGGCAAAGATCAGAGACGTCCCCGGAGCACGTAGAGGCCGGCGAGACGAGGGCGGGACGGAAATAGAGCAAGTGAGTAGCGAGCGCGAAGCCCGAGCAAGAGAAGATTCGGTATCGCCGGATGTATATCGCCGGGGGAATCTATCTTTCGCGTGGAATTCGCAGCACGATCGTCTCTGACGGCAACGGGAGTGATTCTCGGCCAGCGCTCGCTTCCACTTCCTACTCTCCACCCGTCGGACTGCCCACCGCTCTCCGCGCCGTTCTCCATGCCACCGATTCTCGCCGATACCGCTTTGCCCTTTACTCCCAGCCTCGTCGATGCCGTCCCGCACTAAGCTCCCGGTAATACGCTCACAGTGTGGCGGCAGTTATAGACCGGTTGTCACTCTGATCCGCGTGTAGTAATTTCGGCAGGCTGCAACGCCTGCATTAATTTAGATCGACAAAATCGTCTTTAGATAAGCCAAAACACGAGCCACTACTGCTCAATGCCTAAACAAGGTAACAGTGATAGAGATACGCATAATTGCATTGATCCTATCTTTTCAGTTCGTCAATCGTAAATCACCGAGGATTATCGATATATACGTTTCTTCGTAATCGTAAAAATTCTTGGACTACGGTAAATTGGAGAAAAAAATTTGCCAAGTTCGAATTTAGAATATCGTCTTTATTACGATGCTGGA